CAGCCTCCTGTACAACCTTTGGCCACCAAAGACGGGAAGCAGCACTTAGATCGCGCATTGGGGCCTTCAAAAATGTAACCCAATCCTGGAAATCAATGGAGGAGGACTCTGCATCAATGGCTTTAGGCTTTGGAAGGCTTGAAACCTCTGTTTTACTGTTTCGGATTCATCCGAACTTGTGGTGGTTTGCTGCGTCTCCTTTTAGATCAAAACCTCCTAGAGCTGGCGCATTCCTGAAACCAACCCCATTAGTAAATCCTGGTTCCCTGCAATCATGGGATGAGGGCCTCAACCTCCTGTTTGGGGTTGTTGGTACTACTACCCCTGCGGCTGCGTCAACCTGACCTGGAGGAGACTCCACTGAGGGCAAAGGTGGACCGACAGTGGATCAATTTGAAACTCACCTCGCCTCACATTCCCGGTAGCCCTCTGAACTATCTCCCCAACCCATTGAAGCCCTTGTCGCAAACCTGCGCGCAGCCGCGGTGGTAATAACACCCACTTGCGAAGGCCTGATGGCCTGATCCGTAGCTCCATACGATTGACTCAATGCTTTTGCCAAGGGTTGAAGTGCTTGTGAAGCATGATCTCCTCCGACCCTGGTGGGTATGAAAAATAGGCCAGCACCCTCTAATCGGAACTTGATCTTGGCTTGAGACTGCTAGTGTTTGACTGCGCACGTAGCTCTGACCATTTCGGGCGGCGGAACACCAATTTGCCAAACCTGTATTCTGCTGTTCGCTAGGTCCCACTAGGCCTGCTGACATAGCTGGAATGAAATCTTGGTGCCCTCTACATCTTCACCATCATTTGCTTGTAGCCCTGGAATCTCACCGCTAGGTGCGCTTGGACTCATAACCTGAAGATTCTCAGGTATCCCAATGTTTCTACGGGCTCTTAGGAAACCATCAAATGCACCAAGGAGACCCGTTTTACTGCTCAACAAAAGACAGACTGAATGTCTTGGTAACATTTAAGAGTTGCTACTTTGCTGCATCCTGTGACTTCTTGATGTGTTGCTCATGCCATTTGGGCCTTGGACGGCAACAAGAGAAATGCATGACTGCAAGTGCTACTACAAACCTACAGCCTGACATGACTGAACTCCTGGAGAAGGTGAGAGTTCTTCAGAAAACTAAGCAGATAGGCTCTACGGTCCCAATCATTGGGGTCCCCAGTCGCCAGGAGTTCAAAAAAATGCTTTTGTGTTTTTGGACAGTGCAGCACTGTTGCTATCTGGGATTGGTTGGTCATTGGTGAAAACTAGCAGAAGTGCTGTAGTAAAACCAATCCCAGACAGCAAAAGTGCTGCAATGTCCTGGACAAAACAAAAAAATCTTTTCGAAACTCTAGGGCTGCGTGGGGACATAGCAGCCAAAACATTGTCACAGCACAGCATTTTTGCTAGATTTTGCCAACAATTTTGGGGCAGCACAGCACTTCTGGTGGCTTTCTTTTAAACATGCTGGACTGTCCCACAGTTTGTAGCGAAAATTAGCAACAAAAACTAGCAACAATGCTGTTGGGTTCCTAGGTCCCCAGAGAGCCCTAAAGGTTCGACAAAACTTGTTTAGGTGCTGTCCGAGACAGTACAGAACTTTTGCTGTTTTTTTTGCAAAATGCTCTGCTCTCCCAAATTGCTTTTGAAAAGCGAACACAAAGGATGTACTGTCCCGATCTTTGGGGTCCCCATTCGCGAGGAAGCCTCAGGGATTCAAGAAGATTATATTTTTGGGTTTTTCTGGCAGTGCAGCACTTTTGCTGGCTTGCAAGGCTGTTGTACTGTCCAATCTTTTCGGAAACTATCAATCATGCTGTACTGTCCCAAATCTTTGGGTCTCCCAATCGCCAGGAGGCCTCGGAGGTTCCAGAAGATTGTTTTTGTTTGTTTGTTTTGTTTGGGATGCTACAGAACTTTTTGCCATTAGGAGTGTTTCGGGACAGTACAGCACTTTCACCAGTGCAAGCTTTACAGCAAATCCTGCGATTACGCATGAGAACTCATGAACGTAGACCCGAAACATTATGAGCCCTGCCCCGCT